TTGATCCCGTTCAACCTGGACCTGTTCTTGACTAGTTGCAACCCAGACCAAGAAGCTACCAACGAAAGGAAACTCAAAACTTCAGGTTACCTTTCCACTCCCACCAGCACAAACGATCTGCTCGATTTCGACACAATGGAGCAAGTGAGACCGACCGAGCACTGCTACAGGATGATATTAGTCAGGTCATCCCCAGTTCAAAAACGTGCCGCTACATTTAGAGGAATGGCAGAAAAGCAAAGGGGATAGAGCAGCGGGCTACTATACCATTTGGAAGCTAGTACCTTAAGCTGTGTATCTGTGAAATTTGGCGAACCTAGCCCCAGAAGAAGTTCTCGAGAAATTGAAAAGAAGCCCGAGTGGTGAAAATCGGCGCCGGTTTTTTTTTCTGCCAAATGGACCAAGACGTCATAAGAGGAAAGTGCGCCGCTCAAATTTGACCTGCGCCGGACCATAGTTGTGTGTAAGGGTGTTCTTCTCGAGATACACGGTGGAAGATTTGGTTCAGGAGCCCGTACAAGGAAGAAAGGAAAAAATTTGTTGTCGTGGATGGTCCCATAATATTCATCCTGCACAAGAAAAAAGGGTGGATGGATGATCAAGGCAACTGAGATAGTTGATCACGTTAGAGCTGGACCCTTTCGCGCTAATGCCCTCGTCCAGTTTTCACGTGAAGAAACCGGCGTACGCGTGAAAGAACATCTAGCAAGCAAGCGAAGGGAAAGTTTGATTGCACCGCTCGGCAGGCATAGAAGAGAGCTTCATGATGGCTGTGATTTTAGCGTCAAGTGCATAATATTGGCCTACGAAAACGATGTTGGTGCCCGGAAAACCCTTGAGGCGTTCTGGATTAAGCACCGTAATCCATGTATGAATAACAGGAATGAGTGCATCTCAATAACGGCCGATTTCTTGCCCTATATTCCACTGTGTGAGCTCTAACAGTGAGAACATGATGCATAGTATGGCACTGCTACAAGGATGATTAGTACGTGCTTACTATTAGGTCATCCCATTCAAACGTGCCGCTGGTTTTTTTTGAATAAAACAAAGAGGAGAATAAATAGAAAAGTGATATTTTAGCTTTAGGATGAGTAAATCCCTCCTTCACCAATGACCCGCTCCCAGTGCTCCGAGGGCTCTTTGCTTACCCTCTGGTACCTTCGATTTTTCAATAAGTGTGGGTAAATTGCTGTTGTTGCCAATTTCGGCAAATGACAAAACATTGTAGCGTCTGCCGTTGGAGAGTACTCTCAACTGAATAGAACAGTTGTAATCGCATGGCTTTATGACGGGCGAATGGGACGATTGAACTCAGGTCTCAGTATTGTTTGTGTCCCAGCACTGATCTACAATACAGTTACTCGGGTCTGGTACTGTGACGAGCAACGTGGCCTTCTTGTAGTTGTGTGGTAGCATCGCGCATGGTTGTCGATCTGAATGCCGGGAGGAACAGGCAATATGGCACGCAGGGGACGGGAATTTGTCCTCTGTATAGAGCCGCTTGAAAGCCACAGTGTGGGAATCCTTTGCTATGATGATCATCCACTTGCGCCCACGTAACTCTTCATGGTAGAACTCGGGCGGCTTCTCATCTGCATTCATACAAAATTGACGATTGTGAGTTTCGGCTCGAGGTCCGAGACCACCCATATTTCATCTAAGGCCTGGGTGCGTTTGGGGCCGGGGTGCGTTTTCACAGTTGTGAGTGACATCTCATGCTGAGAACATTACTGCTAGAGGTATAGAATCGGTACTGCGTTCGTGCTTCTATAAGAAAATTAGGTACCCATGACTGGCACCCTTCTCTTGACCGTTCCTCAGTTTATCGGACATAACTCGGGCAGCAGTTGCAGCTGGGATGTCAGACTCGCGGGAAGCTCGACAAGGGTCCAGGCTCTGTGATCAGATATTCAGTGCCTGACTTCATCCACCTCTTTTTTTTGTGTGCAGGATATGAATATTATGGGACCATCCACGACAACAAATTTTTTCCTTTCTTCCTTGTACGGGCTCCTGAACCAAATCTTCCACCGTGTATTTCGAGAACACCCTTACACACAACTATGGTCCGGCGCAGGTCAAATTTGAGCGGCGCACTTTCCTCTTATGACGTCTGGTTTGAAAAACCGGCGCCCGTAATTTTACCACTCGGGCTTCTCTTTTCAATTTCTCGAGAACTTCTTCTGGGGCTAGGTTCGCCAAATTTCACAGATACACAGCTTAAGGTACTAGCTTCCAAATGGTATAGTAGCCCGCTGCTCTATCCCTTTGCTTTTCTGCCATTCCTCTATATGTAGCGGCACGTTTGAATGGGATGACCTAATACCATCTTTCAATAGTAGCAGCAGTGCTTGTCGGTATCTTCCCTTGCTCCATTTGTGTCGAAATCGAGCAGATCGTTGTGGTGCTGGTGGCGGAGTGGAAAGGTAACACTGAAGTTTTTGAGTTTCCTGTTTTCCTTTCGTTGGTAGCTTCTTGGTCTGGGTTGCAACTAGTCAAGAACGGGTTCAGGTTGAACAGGATCGATAGCTTTCCTGAGTTTCGATATGCTTTCAGGCCTTTGATAACGACGATACTGTCGAAACGTCAGGCAAAATAAACACTTCCACCATAAAAACCTGTACGGCATAGTAAAGAAACATTGAGCTATATTCGAATTTCGCTGGATTGCGGGGCTCGTTTCAATGAAGGCATGAAAACGATTCTAAAAAGGTTATTCAGTCAAAACCGAGATGGCGTGGAGAACGCTTACAGTCCTCATCATTGCGGATCGGGTGCGGCGCTGGCAAGTGCGGCTGATTTGGTTGCGGTGTTTGCGGTTTGCGCCAAATTCGTTCTATGCCCCATAATTGTTTGAAGCGGCAAGTGACATTACTGTATTATATCCTTCGTATTACTCGTTTTCTACCACTTTTTGTCGCATACGCGTTTCAAAAAAGGCTGAGAACGGCTTCAACAGTGTGCGCACGGTGCCTTTCGGCTGACATGCCGCCATCGGTCGGCAGTTGATGAGGGCTGTACATTTTCTTCATTGGTGGCGCCTTTCCCCTTGCCTGCATAAGATGGGGGAATGAACTCCCATCTAAGGCGGTTAAAGAAAACAAACAGTTTGGATCGAAAGCACATTCCGCGACAACCGGAGTGAGCGAAGGACGTTATATTAGGTTGGCTAATAAGTAATGGCCGTTTTTTTCAATTGAAAAATTTGTTCGAAAAGTGAAACGTTTTGCAAGCAAGTTATATATCATCTGATAGGAAACTTCTCGTAGTATAAGAATATCAAAAAAGCTTTGGTTGAGGATATAGTTTTTGTGAATTTTTTTAGTCGTTGAAGTTGGAAGTGAAGTCGGCGAAAATTAGCATCTTCGACAACTGCCTCTATTTACGTCTACTCGAAGTGCTAAAATCGCTTAAGCTGCTCCATACATTCGGAAAAGGTTGAAGTAGAAGTCTCAGCAGGAATCTCAATAGGACGCTTTGGAACTAATTTCAAGAATTTCAAAGTTGGCAACCTTCACCTTGCCAATATTGGGCAGGCTCACGTCTGTTCCACCTGAAATTTCATGCTAATAGTTGAATTAATTGAATTTGAAATTGATATTCTAATACTACGAGAAGTTTGCTATTAAACGATATTAAGCTTGCTTGCAAAACTTTTCACTTTTCGAACAAATTTTTCAATTGAAAAAAACGGCCATTACTTATTAGCCAACCTAATACTTTTCTTCGTATGCTGCGCCTAAACCCCTTTAATTTCAAGACGAGATTCTTGCAGAATAAGCCTCGGACCTGCGATGCGCCTCTCCTCCCAAGGTAGAAGTGCCAGAAGAGGGGGGAGGGGTTGTAAGCGCAATGGTCATCGCGCTCGGCACGGCCCCCGGCTAGGATTTGCTGCAGTCGATACTCCAGCATCAGAAACTACAAATGTCAATGCTAAGAACCTTAGTAGGGTATAGAGGGCTACTTGTGCAAAACCGAGGTTCAAGCCATCCAAATAAAATTATTGGCTTACCGGTAGGGTTCATGCCTCCATCCTTCATCACCAGGCTCTTAGGCAATTCCTTCATCTTGAGTAAATCTACTTTTGCACAATTAGTCCTTTATATCTCTCTCAAGTCATTACCGCCAAATTTATATATGTCCTAACTCCACTCACCTCCTCACTGTCTGTAAAACCGTCTAAACTGCCGCAATCGTTAGACTGAAATGAAAGCAAATGTGTTAAATTGTGCAAACAAGTGCGTGTGCATTCGTGAAGTCGAAAAACTATACAAACTAGACATATACAGTAAAAAGAAAGTAGTGAGCTGAAACATATGCGAGTTGAAAAATAACATCTAGAAACCGTGCCAGTTATTAGCAACGCATTAACTAGTACTAAACATTTCTATCTATATTTTACTGCGAACTACCAGCTATCTTAACGTCAAACAAATGAAAACAAAAGTGTTACTACAGTTATACGCCCATGGGCTATATTTATGGAAGATCCCTCGCTCGTCGTGTGGGCGGGGTCATACCCACTGCTATCTTTTCTCTACTGATGCGCCGCTCCCGCGTCAAGGGACATCTCAACTCAATTTCCTTGGATCTCTGGTTTTCGGCTGCACTCCTTGTCAGTATGACACTGCACGGTCCTCTGACTCACATGCCAGCCTTGCCTCAAATGAATGAATGGTCCACCTATTTCGGAGCCCCCTTTAAAAGAGCCCATCTCCTAGGTCGCCCTGCCCTTGATAAGGGCTCAAATTCTGATCGCCATCTATTTCTTGCACAATTCATGCTTTGACAGCTGCTGCCCTCTAATTGTCTGCGTTATACGGTTCACAAAGGACCAACATAATTGCATTAGTGATATTTCAAGATGTCACGTAAGTTCTCTTAAGACAGCAAAGAGAAGGGCGTAACGGTAGGCTCAGCCCGCCCACACGACAAGCGCGGAATGGGCCCTTACGTCATTAATCATGTAATTTCTCTTTGCCAACCTTTGCCCGACAAAGCCATGTACACGCGCCAGTAAGGGGTATGGACGGTAACTGGTAATTCTGTCCACAGTCCCATTGCCACCCTCTGCCTCTAGCTGTGAATTTCATGTTTTTGGCCGTGGAAGTATAAGTTTAAAGAAACCTTTGGTGGCGGTGCAGCAACCGGCGACTTGATATCCTTTGTTGGCGGTTCCACCATACTGTTCGGCCTGCTGTTCTTCAGCGTTGCATCACTTTTCCGTTCGCCAACACTCAAATCCTCAGACGTGGATACATTGGCCTAAAACTTGGGAACTTACACTATTAGACCATGCTGTACTGGTGAAAGAGGAGTAGGTAGTATCTACAGTAACAGCTAAAGCTTAAAATACTACTTGAAGCTTCTTGCAATAACTTCTCGAGTTCATCACAACAGTAGTTGAAGCTTGTTGCCATAACCATCAAAGCTGGTTAAAGGATAGATAATGTCCAGTAATTATCAAAGCTTACTACAATAATAGTTGAAGCTTGAAAAGACATATTTCCGCGATAGTCGGTATAGAACAAGGAAATGGGCGGCAGATCTCGGATCATTGTGGCTTTTCCTATTGCGTTTCGCCCTACTCTTCTTTAGGACGCGGTGTGGGTCTCCGTCCATCAGTAATCGGCCGAATGCGTTCTTTAAAGGCACAGTTCGCGACCGCAAATTGCGGGAAACGGAACTCAAATAGGCCAAGAAAGTGCTAAGTATCTGATGAGCGGAGAAAAGCAGCAGAAAAAGCAGTCCGAAATGTTATAGAGAAAGATAACATAGTGGCTACTAGCTAGTAGCTAGCAGCCGGTGAGGGTCGGCATGGGCCTAAGGGGTGTCCATGGGCCTAATTAGTCAGCTTCTAGCGGAGTTCTTGCCGTTTTTCACATTTTGAAAGTAGCGCAGCCTCAAAAATCGCCTTCCGGATCGTCCGACACATTTGAGAGGTCATAGCCTTATTTTATCGCGGAATGTGCCTTTAATCGTTAGTCGAATAAGCACGTCAAATAACACGCACTTCAGAGTGGTTGACCGATTATTATGGATCTCAGATAGCCGCCCTCCAATTAGGACGCACACGCCTCACTCGTCTAACTAAGTTGTAGACGAACAACATGTGGGATTGATCCCACAGGTTGTGTAAGTTTGACGCGACAATTTAGCCGTTTAGCCGCAAAATAAGCCAATTATTGGCATTGCCCAATAGAAAGCAATGAAGAAGCTCACAGCAAGCGGTGAGTGTCCTGTTACCTGCGACCGGCTTCTTGTCATACGATCTAATAACATTGTTGATCTTGAAGAACTTCGGAGGTGACAAGTGCTTCATGGTGGTCCGTGAGGTATCGCGGTTAGCCCCTGACGGTGGCGGCGGCGAGGGACTGGCGGTGAATTCCGTTGGCGCTGATAGGCTAACCGAAACAGGACTTGGTGACACCGACGGACTTGCAAGAACTGGGACCACTATCATTGGGCGACTCGCATAAGCGGGGCTCGATGGCAGTAATGAGCCGCGCCAAACGGGGAGCCCAGACGGCGCAACGGTCGTGTTGGATAGCTGAAAAGAGCTTCACCAATATTTGAAGTAGAGCACCATTACCATTAAGTTTTTTTTGAAATTTTTGTCACTTTCCAGCGGCCAGCCACAATTCACTTATAGAAGGTTTGATCAATCTGGCATATTAAAGAAAGTGGCAGGGCACTTCATATCTTTCATTAAATCAATCATCCAAAATCAGCCCAGTTTTCGAGCGAATTTTGTCCCGAATCAAGCTTAGCCACAAACTTCCCCTGTGGTAGTTTGATGCTGCCTGAACGCGGATATAGTATCCGCTTAGCCAAAGCCACTATAGCCACACTGAGCCGGCGCGAATATACTCGAATCCTGAGATGGTATGGCGATGGCCGCGTACTCAGCTAAACGCGGCGCGCTGTGCATTCGAAGAGATTACCTTACGATTTGACACAATTGTGGCCGTGTCTCTGAGAATACAGAACAAGATGACAGTTGCCTCAAAGTGAAGTATCTCACAAGTATCCCATTCTGTACCATGTTCGAATGCCACCTACTCCTTCTCAGGGATAAGGAGTGTATCTGGGTGCATTAAAAGCGCTTAAAAGTTGTCACCAGGGGTAGACCGACCCCTGAAGCACAAACTCACATCCTTTTCGTCGAAAGACCATGAAGCATACGTCACAAGAAACTCAACACATGCTTGTTACGACTCCGGCACAAGTAGCACGGGCTCCAGTCGTTCCGTGCGGTGTGCTATGGCAGTTAGAGAGATGGTGAGGCAAACGCAGCATCATTTGGTTGTCTCTGATTAGTGACCGCTCCACTCTCAGTGAGGTCATACTTTGCGTAGCGTTCACTAACGTTTTGGGGGAGCATCGACAGGCTCAACGATGGTAGAGAGTAATGGAATGATCAATCTAGCGCCTCTCCAGGTCTTACAAGCTTCGCCCAGCGGTCTTGCCAGCGTTCATATAGGCGTCTCGAGCGCAATGAGAAATATAGATAATCGATGTAGCATTCTACCACGCAGGCAGCATGCACCAGCGTCTCCAGCGATCCGAGAAGAGGAGAGCATGGCGCGATTAGCGGATAGCAGACTGTCTAGAGCACGAAGAGATGGGAGGATGCAGACTGTCTGCGTAGGGAGTGGTGGCGCGGTGGCGAGGTCAGTGTACAGTTTGTCTGCTAACTTCCCTATCGCGCCATACCCTCCTCTCTCGGACTCTGGCAGACGCTGGTGCACGCTGCCACACTCTGGTAGACGCTACATCGATATCTAGACGTTCCCAGTCGATGACTCTGCCGCACGCTCGAAACGCTACGTTGCGACACCGCCGCAAAGTATGAACGCAGCCTTACGGCTCAGGGTTAGCAGTGAAGTATCACTATCTCGGGGGAGAGGTGCTGAAGCAACCTGTGCCCCCTTTGACTCCATCCTTACCTTTTTCAACACCTCATAACAGATGTGACATTCGTGTTCAGGAGGTGAAACTCAGTAGTACCAATGGATATCGGTAATGTTTGGGTATTCTGCTGCCGGCCCTCTGGCTGGCGAACTAGGCGATTCCGAACGTCGTGATTATTCTCAGAAGCAGTCAAACTACTCCTAGGATTCAAGGTTTTCGCGTTTTTTTTTTTTTGTAGGTGGTTTTGGGATATTTTGGCGAATATGTCAGCGGATTCGGAACAAGTGGACTTGATTTTCGTGTTCAGGAGGTCCAGGAAGCACCTTTCTTTTCTTTCTAGTATGCCGGCAAAAAGTAGCCTGGTTTTAAATGACTCGGCCAATGAAGGCCAAAATGCCGGAAATGTTATTTTACAGCTTGAAGGCACACTCCGCGCAAGTGATTTTTAAAAGGGGAACCGTGCGAACATTAGCGCCGTTGCGCTTCCTCAGTTGGTGCAGCCCACTTTTTTGCGATCTTGGAGGGGAGCTGTACTTTACAAGGGCGTACTCCCACATCGTCAACCTAGAACGCTGGTAACTGCAGAACGTATACGTTGTACTCGTAGGACCTTATCATTGAAGGCACGCCCCGCGACCCTGTTGATCGGTGGGGCTCATTTGAATGATGGTGAGTGACTCGAAAAAGGAGGGAACTCCTTAATGCCTAGGACTCCTAAGCCCGGTAGAAAGTTTGAACGTTTCTATAACTTGTACCATAACGATACCAGCTTTTTCCTTTATAACCTCAGCTCTCATCATTCGGAATGCGTAGAGCTGGGCGCTGAACAACCCCACCACCAAAGGGACCTATACGAATGAAGGAATGGCTAAGGTGCAGGCAGTGGGAGGGTCATTGAACTCGTTATGAGCGGGTAGCACCCTTAACCATCTGCGCACAAAAGTGGCCACATTTGTGCATGCGGAGACGGACTACCTTGCCGTGGATACACCTGACTGGAATTTCAACTGTATGAATATTAGCCGTGATATCACTTACTCTGAACATACCGTATCGTCGCGTGAGCTTACCAGCCTATCAAAATGCGCTAAAGGAGCTGTGAAGAATCGTGGGAATGGGAAGTTCTCCACCCTTCACGACTGGACTCTTCATTCACCCCGATACATAAATAATTACGAATTATTGAAGCTATCCATGAACCCACCTGATGCTTTGAGGTCCTTGGGCGCAGCTGGTGGATGTTGCCTGAAAAAATGAGGATTCCACTAAACATAAAAAAGTCAACTCGACCGAAACAGTTGGTTATGGGAAGAAAAACATGATATTCTGAGAAACTGGGAGCTCTGAAAGAACCTGTCAGCGTTTATGAGTGAAAGGCCAGACCGATTTGTTTTTCCCACGGAAAGGCTCCCCTAATGCAAAAGCGTCTGGATGGTCCGTTCACTCCACAGGGCCCTCCCACTAACATTAGCAATGGTAGACTCCCTCAAACATGCCAAGTGAAGGAAACGTACTCACCGTGTCGGTGTGCTCTTTGAATCATCTGCACTTCCCGTTTTATTGAGTGAAGAGTCCAAGGATTTCAGCTGAATTTTTCAAAAATTTCAGATACCTTCAAACAGACGATAATATGCCACAACGAAGCATTAATATAAATGAATGACAAAAATTAGGTTCAGGCACACCACGAGAGAAAAATTTCTCAAAATTTCAATCACAAGAAATACTAATAAATGGGCTCGTATAAAGACACACTCCGCGATCGCGAGTGGTGGGTAAGTAAAGTCCAACAACGAGTTTGTGTGTGCTAATTGAGCTACCACTGAAGGAAAAAGCGAACAAAACCGTCGAAAACGCCCCAATTAAGGCTCGGTTGATTCTCAGTAGCGGTGAGTGAGTGAGCATGTGTTGGCTAGAGACGCAGAGAAGCTCAGCGAGAGATTAGGTAGGCTCTACACAACAAAAGCGAGGAAATCGATTGCAACACGATGCCTCTGTGTCTGCCTCAATGTCTTATGTGCGCTCTGTATGACAAGCTTTCTGGTTACCGGTATTCTAGCGCCCCGCCTCAGTCCTTCAAGCAGCGAAAGTGCACGCCATACACAACTGCGGACCAGTATTCTGGTACCTGGATGGGATTCTAGTGAATGGTCCGCAGTGGATTTCACAACGGAGGCAGTCGCATTTGGCTACTGAGAATGGGGGGGGGTCGTAGCCGGTTTCGAAGATTTTAGGGAAATTCGAAAAGATTTCGGCAAAATTCGATGGGATGGTAGGACACCCGATGCGCTGTACCCCCACCACTCTTGCCCCCCGAAAATTTCAGGAAAATTTCGTAAGAATTCGGCAAGATTTGGTGAGATGGTTGGTACGTTGTAAAAGAAGATTGTGTTGACAGGGAAATTCAAAGGTGGGGGGGGGCGTACATAGCAAAAATTTCACGTAAGGCGATGATGTGTTCGGATTCTATTTTTCGCAAGGCAATCACGGAATGTGGGAATAGATCATTTTGGTGGTCTGAACGCGTTCTTTATCGTTTTGAAGATAAAAAGACAAATATTAAAAAAAACTGAAAATAACAGCAATCCAATCGAAATCAATAATACAGACTTACCATCCCATTAGCTGCTA